TGAAATTTTATAAAACAATGAGCACCAAAAAATTTATTGTCATCGTTCAATGTAGCCTTTTAGATAATGTAACTTTGTCCTGAAAAATTGTTCCATGCAACAATGAATAAGGCAATCCCATTTAACTGAACCTCTCTGTATATTCTTAAGACCTCTGTACAATTAATATATACGATGAATGCTTATATCGAGTTCTGATCTAATTTGAAATTAAAAAACACGCAACACATTGTACTGTAAAAAAGACGGACAATGGAAGGTGTGTAATTATCATTGGAAAAAATTTCAAAAGGAACCGGTGAAATTTGACGCTTTTGATCGTCTTCTCGGTCTCTGAGAACAAAGGAGAAATTAAAGGACCGCGAAATAGTAGAGGTTGCTTTGACTTTACATTTTTAAGGAACAGAACACGAGAAACAATGAGTCTTGAACAATGAATGATTTTTATAAGAGAAATAGAATCGGAGTTATCGACAAATTTTTTTCATAATACCAGATCCACGATTAACATATTAAAGTGATTTCGAAGAACTGGTTTTGTTTCAGATCGGGAGCAAAATGTCGGTCGAAGTGAGAGCGGGTCGACCAACAATGCCAACAATTCCACAATCCAAGAGACCAACAATTTTAGTTTATCCGACAGGTAAGATGTCAATACAATTTTTTGTAAGATAAAACAAAATATCATTGTTTTCATCTTTTCAATAATGGTGCGAATGCAATTCTACGTAATACTCATACAATAACAATGAGACAAGTGATACTTGAATAATAACATTGAATTTTACAGAGTCAATGAGATTACTATCTACTTAAGTATAATACAATTGGATAATGAGGAAATTTAATTTTACAAAAAGGAATTAATGGAATTATCAGATTATCTTCCTGATCCAGAATCCAATCTTTTTGCAAACTTAAAAATATTGTGAAAGGATTAAGTATTTCGTTAAAATCCTGTTATGACAGAACGAATCTTCGTTGTACTTTACGAAGTAACCAAGCAAATAATTACTTCCCAATCTCAAGGGTCTAAAAGAAACAGAGAGTGGGAGCTTAATCAAATTGCAAACTGTCTAGACGTCTAAATGAAGAAGTGATATTTATAAATAAAAAATGATATAAATATTTTAACGTTGTAATTTTAGATTTAGAATGTTGTTATAGTACGAAATTATTTTGATTTTAACAAAAAAATATTTATGAGTCCTATTATTCAAAATATATTTTCGCTATTATTATATATTAGATTTTTATGCACTTATAAGAAATTTAAATGCAAAAGTGTACAGTAAAATATCTAAAATGCAATATTACATTTATAATTAACAGAGAAAACAATGTTCTGTTTAGGTTCTCTTTTCTAAATTTGATTTATAAAAATATAAACTCTAGTAAAAATCCATAGTTTATTTATATTATATATCTTGTTTTTTTGTCACGTTAAACGAAACACTTTTCTTTTCTTGGAAGTTAAATTATCGTTTAGAAGATTGATGGCACTTCTTTCACAACTTTTATTAAAAGATTCATTTGTAGAATCATTTGTTGTCAACTTTCTTCAGTATTTGTTAGGAAGTTATATAAATAACAGAAATCCAATTATTGCTTTCATATTTGTTTGAAAATTTAACGCGGCTGTTACTTTAGCTCAAAAACTTCTTCGTTTGCGAAGTGATTAGCAAATGGAAATCATCGGAAGTAAGAAGGCAATTCTGTTACATGGAATACACATTAATGTATTAACTCGATTGATATACGAATTAGGATTCATTTGCAAAATTTCAGAAACGTTCCGATGAGAAAATCTTCACAATTAAATTGAAAATTACTTTTGTTGTTTTTTAGTAACTCCAGAGAGTATCATCATTCCAATAGTATCATGCATACTTGGATTTCCATTGCTGGCTCTAATGGTTATCTGTTGTTTAAGAAGAAGAGCAAAACTCGCGAGAGAACGAGCTCGAAGAAGAAATTGCGATCTAGATCACGGGGCTCTCAGTCTCGTTCGTTTTAGCCCTGTCCATCGTTTAGGTAAGTTTCACGGGTAAAAAAGTGAACCTGTTTAGTCCCCTTATTTTAAGTACATACTTAAAGGCAATATTCTTCTATATATAAATTTTATAATAACAAAAAACGAAATGAGGTCAGAAAACATTTGTATTTTAGCACCTGCAATCTCTTTAACAGCCGCTATACTCCCATGGCCGCTTTTCTAAAAGCCCAAAACCATTGAATACATACGTATACGTACCTGTATATTCAAATATACACTCACATACAATCACATAGACGTGTATAGTCGTATACTTTTATAAATGGAGTGTATATATGTATACGTATTCAAACATACGGATGTACTACGTGTATAAAGAGAACGGAAGAGGTATTAAACCAGATTGAATGCTGGCCTGAATATTCGAATTCATATATCGATTTCAGAATATTTCAAACGCAGATGTCGTGTCCATGTTCACGCGGCTACTTTCCCCAATAAAAACGTCATATCTAACAAAATATCGAGAAATTAAATGGCTAATGGCTAATAGAAATTAAAATGACTTTTATTGGTTTCTCATAACTTTTATAATTGCTTACTCTATGTAAATTCTAATGCTGAAGTATAACGTACTTTACAATGTTCATAAACATGATCATTTTGTTTTTGAGTACCGATGAAATGTATATAGAAAATTTGATAACTATGGTTGTATAAGGCTGACTCGGAAGATACACGACTACTGCGACCGATTGCAATATTTTCACTCTGGATTCACAATGTTGAAAATAAATCACTACTGGATTGATCAAAAAATAATGTCGAACTTCTGTAGTAAATGGTAATTTTATTTCTCATCGATGAACATCATTTGTAAATTTTTAATTCACAAATATATAGCACGCTCTCTTCGTTAATTCTTTAATATTTAGATTATTACTGTAAATTTTTATGCATCTACGAGACATTTAAAATGTAACATTGCACAGAATGCTTACAATTTAAAAAAAAAATAAAAGATAATTATCTAAAAGAGGCTAATTCTCACCTATTTTAATGAGATTGAAATATGTTTTGTTGAATTCTACAATTCTTTTCCCTTTTACAGCTGTTATTGCTGTACAGCCTTAATTTTCGAAAAATTTACGAAAAATTGCCAATACGATTAGATACAAATTCTGCCTATAAACACAAACAAGATATATACCTCGCTTGTGCTATAAATGTACATCTGTGATGGCATATGCCTCAATATTACTTGCTGTCCGTCTACGACAGTTTTATATCTCATGTTTCAATTTGTAAACACAAATAGAAAGGACAGGAGAACTTAACTTTTAATTTAATTCAGCAGAAGTGTTACTAACCGGTTTTCGTCGGCCGGGAATTTATCTAGCCTAAACCAATTAAGAAAACTAAGAAAAATGACGAGCTTTTCTTAAAAATGAATATTGATATTGGCATGGAATAGATAAATTATCTAGCTGACGGAATCAAACTGGTTATATTCTTACTGGAATGTATCAATTGCTATATCTTGGATTTGGTTATATATTTTCAAATATCTGAGATGAAGAAAAGTATTCGTACATTTGATAAAAAATTGTCTGTATTTTAAACTGTTAAAATTTTATAAAAAAAAAGATTATATAATAATTTAATTATCGAAATTAAAAATACAAAATCTCCCTTTTAACAAATTTACGTCAGTGTTTTTCGAAAATGTTTTTATATCATGTAACAAGTGGAGAAGCAGGGATTATTATTTTCGGAAATTGTAAAAATTCAATATCTCTAAAAACATTAAAAAGTTTTTTTCATAAGTAAATGTAATGTCTCAAAAATTAAATTTTCTTCTTCACGACAACTTAAAATTTGCTGTATAATTTTTTTCACCATTTTATTAAACTTTGAACACCAATTAAATAGCAAAATATGATTAGGATTTCTTGAATATTTGCCGTTTAACTTTAATGTTCAATAACATTTAATAAAATAGCGAAAAAAGATCGTACAAGTTTCAAATTATGTCGATGCAAAAAGGAAATTTCTATTTTCGAAATTATGACAGACCTAGTTATGAAAAAAACTTTTCAGTAATTTTGAAGAAGTTTAAATTTTTACAGTTTTCAATAAAAGAAATAAAAAAAAAATTCAAAATTCTTAAAATAAATAAAATATCATAAAATATCATCAATCAAAATACTGTGCTCTCTATAATACTCTCCTTCTGAAAATGAATGTCGAAAGTTGCACTTTCATGTAGTTATGTTTTATTGTATATTTTATTTCGAAGAGGAAAAAATGTTGAAACATCAAAAAAGGTTTGTTGATTATAGAAAGCAAACTTACAACTCAAAGATTGTAGATGGAAGACTTTCATGATAGAGATATTTTATAGATGATAAATATTTTGTAATGCATATGGAAATTATTAATGACAAAATCTGAAGTTTAATTCAAGTTCAATGTCAAATTTAATTTATCTATATTATAAGATAATAAATTATTGAAACATTGGAAATATCCAAATTTATTGTTGTTTATTTAAAGTGATTATCAGATATGATATTTCAATTTCACGTAGTTCGAAAAGGTTACAAAAACAAATCATATTTAAAGCAAACAATTAAATCTTTTGCAAAAAGAAGATAATAATTCCGAAAAGATAGACTCGTGCAGCTATGAAAATGCTATAGATGAAGGGGATACAGTTTAATAAAACTTTTTGCACATAAAATAACATAACTATTAAAATAAAAATACGACATTACTTTTTGGTCAACTAAATATAGCATGCTGATTTTAATTAATAGGGGATACACAGCTTTCAGCAAGGTTACAGAGGAAAACATTTACTTGTCGAATTTTGTTATGCATCGAAAAATTAATTTGCCTCAGTATAAATTAACTTTTTCGAAACTGAAATACATATACGTTATTTTATTATCTCGTCAAGTGCAGCATCGAAAGAGGATTTAGGTAAAACTTTTCATCAACCTGATCGTTGCTTGAGTCTCTAGAGATTTTAGAATTTCAGAGAGCAATCATAGTTTCTTTTACTTAATGCATAATTGTTTGCCGCTGCCGCTATTACTACTGCATATTTAATACAGTATTAAATTCCGCCAAAAATTGAACAAGGATAAAATAAAATCATAAAAATAATTTGTGCAGGATTTGTTATGCGAATTGCATCTAAAAAATACGTTTAAATAACATCCACATTTTTATGAATATTATATCTCAACAGCTTAAGATTTGCAATACATAACTGTAAAGATCGAAAACAAGAAAAGTAGAGAATTTTTATCCAAACAATATAACGCAGCTTGGCTACATCTTAATCTTGATCCAAAGGCATGTATATATATTTTTTAACATAGTTATAATCGCATGGTTTTAAACTATTCGTTATGCAAGCCTATACAGTGCTTTTTCAATGCATTTCGTATATAAAAAAACTTTTGCAATATGATAACTATGCAATTCAAATTAACAATTTAAACTATTTAATCTTAATATTAGACTGCATTTAGTTAACATTAATCTTATTGATAATTGATAATCTAAGATGCGCTTTCATTTACAGAATTCGTAAACTGTACAATCAAATATTCTTCTTATCATAGAATATTAATATTTACGTATATTTATGTGATAGCTGGAATAGATCGTCCAAGAGCAGTATCATTACGAAGCGATCGAGGATCTAAAGCTTTCCCATCGTTGGAGCTAGACACGGTGGTTGAAGAACGATCAGATCCTGAACAAAGCACTGCATTGGAACTTAGTAGCCCAGATTAGCATCCAGTTTTGGTACCACCTAGGTCAGATGTCGTAATATTATCATTCTTATTTCTTTAAATTAAACATAAAAAAATATTTCTTTAAATTAAACATAAAAAAATTTTCGTACGAATCGTGTATCATTGTCAATAGTTTGTTTCTTTCCCCATCTATCCAATTTTCCTAGTACTTAAGATTTCTGCATTACGACATGTTTATCATTACTGCAACAAATATTACAACTTCATTTGTAATAAATAATAAATATTTATAATGAAAAAGATATTAATTTGAATTAATTATTTGTCATTCTGTATAGGTCTCCACGACCATCGAAATCAGTGGTACCGTTACCCGTGGATCACAGTCCTTTATGGACAACATTAACACATGCCAACGCTGTATCCTCTGCCCTTGGAAATACCTAGCAGGAATTAGAAGAGGGCGGTTACATCGAAGCTCTCGTCCTTGATTTACCTGTAATTTACTAAAAAATTTGGCATACATATATTACCAAATTAGCTTGCGAGAGCTTGTGACCTCGTACATAATTTCAAGGTGGTGAAACATTGTGAAGTTGTACAATAAAAAAGACTTGCGATAATAACATAATTTGAAGTATAAAGACATTAAACAATGGAATACGTATCTTTACAAACAAGTTTCGTACGCGTATTCGAAATTGACAACTAAATTTTATACTGATAAACTGTACAATATTCTGCAGACATTTTTACAACGTGAGAAACTATTAATAAAGTAACAAACACTGCATTATTAATGTAAATAAAACTTTGTTAACATCATGTACAAACCAAAAAATCATAATGTGTAAATAAATAATTATAAACTACTCCATTCTTTATAAACATATACATCTACTTATATAATTATAAGAAATGTATTACAGATGAGATGTATGAATAGATTGCATGAGATATATAGGACTTTGTATTCCATGCTGTGAAATAGTAAAAAATCAGTTTTTTAGCGCTTTATGTTTGAATAATAGTGAATTGCAGAACTACATCAAGTAAACGAAAATTGATCGCAATGAATGCGCCAGAAACATAATTGTTTAAATCCATTACAGTGTTCCCAAATTTTCAATATAGAAATATGAAGTTAGTAACTAATCGAAATCGTTCTATTACATATCATGAACAGCTTTATCCATATTTTACAGAGTTACAATGGTTTACTTTTTTTATATAGTAAATTAAAATTCTAATTATTAATACATGCTTTTAAGTGATAAGTATAAATAAACTATACTTTTATACTTTATAAAATATTCTTAAAGACAATTTTTAACTATTTTTTAAATTATTAATATTAAAATATTAAGATTATTATATTTCCTTATTTATTTATATTACATATTCAAATTTATGTTATAACAATTTTATAATATGTTATAATATTTTAATATATATTATGCAGTGCATTGAGTATAATAAATAACATAAATTTTATTATCTATCAACTAAAAATTACGCTCTTAACTTCTACAGCATAAAATATTATTCAATATTTTTTATAAACTAGCTTTTCCAATGTTATAATAGCAACAAAACTTTTTTATTTATTATATTTATATTTATAATATAAATCATCATTTCATGAAAATTCAATGTAAAATACAGGCACACATACAATGTTTCCTGTATCTCGCAAAATCGACTAATGAAAAATACTTTTACAAATTTGATATAAAGGAGCATATTATGTGATGCAAATTATAATTATATAGTCAAGTGATGGGGAAAATTTTAAGACCAAAGAACCTCATATTTTTCTTTATAATACAATGGCATTTATTAAGATGAACTCGACTCACATATGATATTATTTATTCTTGAAAAATATCTGAAATTAAGTATAAATTAATGCGCAAGTGCAAGTGACGTTATAAATTAATGAACTAAATCTGAGCTTCAAATTAAGCTTAACGGCTATAATATTTGTAACAGAACTGCATCGCATCGGATAATTTTGATTGGGTGGATTTTTAAGACATGTGTAACTCGCTTATTTCGCTAGTTTAACCATTTCTTATTCTAACGGACAGAATATGAACAGAAATGTAGCAATCATGTTAGACTTTTAAATTTTAACAAAAAATTGACTATGTTTCCATCAAGAAATCCTAATCTTGTATCTCTTTAACTCACTTTTCAATTGTCATACCAAACGAAGACAATGGATGAATTTAGATTGACTATTTCGATGATTTTTAAATATCTATATCTCATCTGTAATATATAATATTTATATATTATATAAAGAATTATAAAAGGAATTAAAGAGAAGAAGAAAGAACAATCTTCTCATTTACAGATATAACCATTGCAGAAGGAATAATAAATCCTAGATTTTTTGAAATATCCTTGTAAAATGCGGATGAAATATTTTTCATGCACTTACAAATTAGTTACCGTAAAAAATTACATTAAACTACATTTAAATTACTTAAAAAACTACATATTATTCATTTTTCATTAATCCAATGGATATGTACATCTACATAAGCACGTAATCGAAAACGCAGTCAATCAGCTCGCCATATTACTTGCCATATAATTAATAATTTTTATAAGTTATATAATTAAATGTTCAGCTATTTAATAATGCAATTAGTAATTATATATCAAGTAATACCGATTAACTAGACCTTACTACGGCTGCTGCTGCGGTGCTGCGAATGAAGACCCTATTCGCAACTTATTTTTTTGCGAACAAAAATTTGCTAGTTTAAATTATGAATAAATCGTTCTTCTATTATACGTTTATATGTTACGTTCAATACCTTGATCCGTTTGCAAATCAAACACAATAAAAAAATCTGTGAGAAAAACTGACGCGAAAAGCTAAATTTCTATGAAAATAGAAGTTATGTTCAAAGTAAAACTAACTATTTCTACATGAGACACAATTTTGATTATATAATAAGCTTAAACAATGAAAAGTTTAAATACATGTTTCATATAGAATTTTATTTATTCTACTTAAATTAATGAAAACTACCTTTAACCATGCATGTATTTCAATATTAACTTATCTTACGTACCCAAATATCAATTTAAATGTATCATGCTTAAACAATTATCTATAGCCTAATTAAGCCTAATTGAGCCTAACTTCACCTATATTTACAAAGAGTGATTTTTCTTTATTCTATTTATACGAATACATAAATATAATTAAAAAGGAATGAAGTAATGTTATATGAAGTATTCTTCCGATGATTCCTCAACTTGTTATATTACGAAATCTTTTTCTTAATTCCATAATTTGAACCTAAAAGAAATCTAAGAAACTAAAAACGATTAGTAAAATCTGAAAAAATATAACTCTTATTTGCAACCATCCATCCTATATATTTTTATATTATTTGTAACTAACTACTCTGTAAATTAATAAATCTGAACAGATTTATATATTGAATTAGTATTATAATTAAATAAAATTATAATTAAAATAAAAAGACAAAATAAAAAAATCTACAATGAAGACATTACATACAAAAAAAAGTCAGTTATCAACATATTACTTTATAATTATACTTTATTAATTGAATTAAATTATTTTTTATTTTTTTTACTCAAAATTACTAAAATTGAAAGTAAGAATTTCTTGTGTTTGAATTTAAATAAGTAAAATAATAATTGGGCTAAAAATTGAAAATTTATCTTTGATACTAAGATGAAGGAAGACTCGATTAAAATCACATGATTTATCTTTCAACTTTTATTTATTCATTATATAGCACGAAGAGTCCAAAATGCGTTCATTGCAGTATTTTTGTTACAAATAAAGGATGATCGCAAATAAACTTTGATTTGTGCAAAATCGAAAATTTATAAAATTCTATTTAATTGTTGAAATACTTAGAACAGAAAAAAGAAGAGATAATGACAAAAAAAAATAACCCTGATAACGAACAATCATTATTATTGACACTTCAATAACAATAAATTGGATACTAATTCATATTTCAAAATATTCTACAAAGTACTATCAATTTAATTATTTTGTAAAAAAAAGTTTCAAATTTTCATTCTATTTAAGTATTTTATTCTAATATTTTTCTCGCTTTATTGTATGTGTGTGTCAAATATGCAATCATTTTATATATATAAAACATTCAATCATTTATACTTTATACTATTTAAAATATATAAATATATTAAATTTGTAATAAAATTCTGCATTCTAAAACTAATAACAATGTTATTAATAAAAAAAATGTATATTTTTTAGCAGTATTTTTAATAACAAATGCAATAGTAGAGAGTGTTGAAAAAGAATATCTAACGAAACATACACTAACAAAACATAGCTATTACTGAAGAAACTCTAAAACAATAGCCAGAAGAAAATAGCGATACAAATGGGCTACTAAAAAATAAGCATTTCCAACTCAAAACAATAAAAAGAGCTACTATACAATTATCACAGACGAAGTATAGCAATAGACAAAACATCTTGTGAGATTTCGTGTCCCGTGATCTGAAATACCGACATAGTAAAAAAATCACTAATTTAGAGCGCATTCTAAGCGCACTCTACGCTTAAACAGCGGTGAATGTAGGAACTACATTTAGCAAAACGATCGAAGTTGATCATGCAGTGAATGCGTCAGAAATATGATTTTTGAAACCCATTATAGTGTTGTTAAATTTTCAATACCGAAATGTAAAGCTAGCAATCGATATCCTATACCTCGTCTTTGCAAATTATCTATTATTAATATGAATCTAAACAGCAAATCGTTTTACAACACTAATTCACAAGTATTAATTAAATAGAATATTTAAAATTAAATGAGAAGAGTGCATCATCATATTTAGGAAACTCCTGAAAATAAGTACGTAATTAATTTAAGCACTCATTTTTAAAAACATGCAAAATTAATTATGACAAATGAATGATTACTTTTTGTAGCTGCACATGTGATCCAGGAGCAGGAACAACTTTTTACGAATTCAGTGGAAGAATCTGAAAACTTTATAAATGCAACGCTACAGAAATGCGATCATTCATTATCGCAACACTAAGAGGAATAGTAATTGAAAATTGGAACAATAACTGAAATTATAAGTAACTGCAAATCGCGATGAAATAATGTCGCAACACTAACTCTAAAACCAAACTCAATCAAAATTATCAATAATATAAAAGCTACTTTATGATCAAAAAGTTACTTCAAATATTCCAACACTCTAAAAATAATTAAAAAGCAATTAAATGAACTCTATAATCTAAATTGAAACAAGAAAAAGCAAGATAAATTTCACTATGTATAACATTAAGATTAACTACAAAAATTCATAATCAAAATTGCAAAAAACAATCACGTAATTCATAATTGAATTCTGAAACTTTTGACAAATGATGAAAATTCATTACTCATTGTACATCATTATACTATAACTATACTATAACTATATGATTATGTGCTAAATTATGGAAAATATTACATTGAACTAAATGTTATAATTATAAAAAAAATAATTCATGACACATTGAATTTTTAAATACATTTTATTTAAAAAATGAAATATAATCATTTTCCTGCTTTCTTTAATTTTGCGAAAGCTTGTGTTTTCATTACCTTTGTGACGATCTTTTGTTTTTCAATAAAAAAAACCCTTGACAAGCCTTACAAATATATACAATATATTTCTTATATATACAATATATTGACAATATAAGTTCAGTAGTGAATCTTTGACTTTAGACAATTTTTTTGTGAAACTAAAAAAAATCAATCCTTTTTTAACGCATTTCTGACAGAGAACACCGTATACTCATTTCACAGTTTTCTTACGTCTATACATTTGCGATCTTTCCGTAGATCTCGCTGGTTCGATATGTCTCGCCCTTAATATGTCCTTACATTGATCGCAACTAGGGATTTTCTTTGTATTTATAGATTAACTTTCCTCTAGGAGTGCGCACTGTAATTTACATAATATATTTATACATAATATATTTACAAATGATAAAACAAGTTTCTAATGAATTAATCAGAGTAATAAATAATTAAAACAAATGAGATTTTATATTCAATGTAATTCACGATGATATAATTTTAAACAGTGGACATGTAAATTTCACATATTGAAATGAACCAAAATACAACCTTAAATAATCAAATATTTATGCTTTCAAAAGTTCTATAAAAAATTTCCTATATTATAAAAATAATACAGTGATATATGAAATATAAGAATTTTTTTATTGTTTAAAGAAAACGAATACCTACACGCGTCTTCTATTGTTTTTTGTGTTATATGATAGCCGACTTCGATAAGTTAATCGTTGTATCATTTTTGTTCTGAAATATAAATTCGTTTCTTAACACAAAGATTTGTTCAACAATAAATTACAATAATTTCATGAATGTTAAATTACAATTATTTACAATAATGTTCTTGTTGCAAAAAATAAATAAATATTTATGTTATTAATCTTTAGGAAACTATCTATAATTTTAAACAACTTAATTAGAAAGTCTATTAGTAATTACTTGATTGTAAATGATGGTTTTATGATACTTTTTTAATTTATTAATTATGGTTTTCCTATTATTAAAGTAGTTTAGGTAGAACCAAATTATGTGATCCAGATCATACATAATTACAAGAGGCATCCTGAACCAAACCAACCTTGGCCACTGAGGAGCCGAGAATGTAGTAGCCAGCTATTTAATTCTATTAACTCTATTAACTCATGTGTCTGGTTGTGAAACTAAGAGTGTTTGTTGGTTTGAAAATAGTTATCACCTGATATTCCAGCTTGTGCTTTCTATTTTTTTTCAGTTTAAGATTGAATTATTTGCTTGATAGCTTGTATGCAGTTAGTGTGTAGGATCTATATATGTTGGGGAATTACTTTTGCTAACGCTGTCTTTACCTCCTTGTCTGTCATTTCATCGCTTTCTATTCCGATGTGAGTTGGAATCCACATTATAGAGTTTTTTGTTATGTTAGCTCTGAATTGCCGCAGTCCTTTTTTAATATTTGTCTGTTGTTCTAGAATGGAAAGGCTTTGCATAAAACTCAGTGAATCTGTACAGATTAGGATTTCATAGGGTCTTTATTAGTATAATCAGTAGATTAATCAGTCTAGGGTCTTATCAGTCTATCAGTCTATTAGTATAATCAGTACATATAATCAGTAGTTTATACTAATAAAGATATAATAGCAGTAGCTAATTCTATTCGGTGTAGATTGAACTTTCTTTATCATTGAAGTTGTATGTTTAGTTTGTTCTTTGGAATTATGTATGCTGCTCCAACTGATGGCACGTTTGTGGATTTAGAACCATCAATGTATACTAATGTGTGTTCTATGAAGTAATTATTAACTAATTGTAAATTTTAGAAAATACTGTTTGCTGTTGAAACTGGATAGCAAGATGATTTTCTATTATCACCGGTTGTTCGAATTCTGTTGTATAGTTGGTGAGATTACTAGTTAGGTTTGAGAGTATTTTTATGTTAGTAATGTATTTTTTAAGTATTTGTAGTATTCTCATTATGGGCCAATTCTTATTAATTAATAAGTCTATACATAAGATACTGTGTTTTATATGCTTCACAAAAGTTTTCTAGTATCTTGTTTATAGGATGAGAATTATTTGATATAATTCTTGACATGTATTTAGATCCTAGGATTGTTGTCCAGTCTATAACTAAGGGCTGTCTGATTGTTTTGTTTTGTAGTTCTATTTTGCATCTGTGCGATTTATTTATTTATTTATTCATTGAATAGTAGCATAAGCACCTGTAATCTATTTTGGCTCATATGAGGGATTTGTATATTAGCAGAAAGTTGTGGATCACAGCAGAACTATCACTTAGAAATCTTACAATGTTGAGTATTTGCTGGATTGTTTAATTAAGTATTCTGTCTGAGTTTTGAAGTTCAGCCTGGTATCTATTCCTATTATCTGAATTCCTAGAAATTTGACCACTGGTCTGCTGATTGTTATGTTATCTTTGAATGGTTGTGATGAGCACCCAGGGAGAATTTCCAAACCATATCAGATCGGTCTTTTCTATGGCTAATTCCAGACTTGTTGCCTTGGTTTGAATTGTTTTAATTGCTCTGGTAACTTTTTTGGGATCAATATTTTGAACTATTAGGGCATATACATAAATAAAGTACGTAATAAGTAAAGTAAGTAATACGTACGTACTTTTTTCCGAAGTTAGTTTAGTTTTTTCAAAACTTCAATCGTGTTACCCTGCCGCTATTTCTTAAATATAGTACAATGTCGATGAACACGTAATATTTCTTAAATTCACCGTAGAAACGACAAACAGAACTCATTCTTTCATATGTGTTTCTCATATGAGTTACTTTTTCTTCCAGGTGTAGTCTTAAAGATGTGTTAATTTTAAGGGGGATGAATGAAAGAAGAAGAAGGGAGTATTTTCTAAAAAATTTAAAAGTGACTTTCACTAGGATCAGTTGAGACACTCACTCTTTTAAACTGAGACATCAGTTTAAAAGCGAACATGATTGGAGTTAGTTCTCCAGCAAAAAGTATAACAGGATTTATTCAGCCATTAGACGTCTATGTCTTCCTCCACATTTGGAAAAATTTTGCAAAGAAAATTTCGAATTTAACGAAGAATTTAAATATTAATCTCAACTTACATATCCCAAATAATATCATAAAATTACAATTACTAATCCACAATCAATTATCCTCTACAAGATGTAAAGAAATGTTTAAATACGCTATATGGTTTAAAAAATGTAGTTACATATTATTAAGCCACAAGAATTCGAAAATCCAGTGAAGTTTTGTTTTACGGATTTGAAATTCGAAATTACACATTATTTTGACTGTGATGAAGTTGTTATCCTAAAATATTCATGGTATAAAAAACATTTGTACTTATACTTCTTCGAGAAGTACCACTACTGCGAAGATTACATTGAGTGATTGAACATGTCCTGACCATGTCTATTTAAGAAAAGGAGTAGGTACTGAACAATAGAATCATTTTTTCGGAACTGAAATATATTAACATTTAATATTTTAAAATGTCATATTTTAATTTTTAATAACTATTAAAAAAATATTTTATGTACAAAAATAAATAAAAAATTTTTTCACTTATCTTTGCATTATAGAGTAATTTTCTGTTGATTATTCACTCTTGTCTTGTCTAATCTGAAATGAATCTAGTATACTTGACAAAATAACATGAAAAAATTTTATTTTATATTTTCAGTTTATTTTTTTAGGTACGTTTCTTATTTTTCACTCCTTTTCCAGTTATACCTTAAAAATAAGGATATTCTGTATATCCATATATTCATATAAGTTATAAATATATTAAGTGTATTTGCATGCATGTATTTGCATTATACATGTATACAATAATGCTGTTTTAAATCGTAGATGTAATTGTAATCTTTATCTGACAAATTTTAAGTGATACTATGCTTCTACATCTTTGTAACATCGATAGCAAGAAATATTAATTATGTTTGAGAATCGTGATACATATACATATAATTGCATATTTAACCATTTCGTTATTGTAATCTTTATCTAATTTAAAATCATTGCTCTAAATCTAACAATAAATAGTTTTTGTCGTCTTATTAGATAATCTATTAGGTTAATTTAACAAAAAAAAAATCTGTTATTTTATTTTTTAAAAAATCAAGTATATCTTAATTTTAAGTCTTAGTTTCAAGTTTCACTGATTTAATAAATATAACTTATTTAATTTAGTAATGTGAATTGGAGTAGTACTTCTTAATACATAAGTGGTTATTCTTCGAAATAATTTCGATTATATTCAATAAATTTATAAGTATTATTTAAAATTACATTCCGTTGATTATTTTATTATAAGAACAATGTTAATATTATGTTACGCTAGGCATAAAAATTAACAGAAAATATAAGATATATACTAAATGTAATATTATGTATGCTCTATTTTTAATAAATGATACAGCAAAAAATAATTATGTATATATATTCTATATATATATTTAGTATAAACTGTCATAATGAATTGTTGAATGTAATTTACACAATTTACAGTTTGAGTTCTTTTTAATATAAAAAATTAATTAAATCTAATAGAAATTGCATAATATATAATTGTATTTTTCTAAATATTTTTGTTATATTTAAAATCCAGGTATTACTCGTCCTTTTTTAGCTGCCTTTTTTAACTTATTTATCTTCTTTTCTTTCTTTCTCTTTGTAATATTATTTTGTCGTTTACTTTGCCTTTCTTGAATTCCTTTTTGTACATTTTCTAATCTAGATTCCCATTTTTTTGCACTTTGTTTTTTTTTATCTTCTTTTCTTTTTAGTGTTCGTTTAAGTAAATCTGGATCATTTTTCACCTATAAAAAAATATGTTAATATAATATAGAATTATATTAATAATAATATAATATAGAATATAATATTATTTTTTTGAAATTCCACAAAAGAACATAGAATCTATCTTTATTACCTTTTCACCACTAGATTTTGCCAAAACTGCCTTCCATGCATCCTTTTCTTTAATTTCTTCTACTCTTTCTTTTTCACCTAATTTTTCCATTGTTTTTAACTTCTCTTTTTTTTGTTTCAACTCGAGCAACATTCTTTTTGTATCCTTTTTGGGTGGTTTTTTCTTTGTTCCAATTTCAGAAAAATCAAACTTACTAAATACCATTTTACCTTCTGAATTAAACACAGGCTTTGGTTTTGGAATTTTTGGTATTTCACTATCTTCTTTTTTTATTTCAAATAAGGTGTCACCATTCTGTTCTCTCTTTATTACTTTTTTTTGCATCAATCGCTCTTTCTTCTTTGATATCTTTTTTATTCTGGTTTTCAGATTCTTTTTTAACTGCTTTTCTTTATATTCTAGTCGTTTAATATTTTTTAACCCCTCTAATTTAGCATGTAACTCTTCAAATGTTTGTGCTCTTTTCTTTTTTTCACTTAAACTTGAGAAAATATTGTCTACAATAAAAAATATTAAGTTTTAAATAAATTAATTAATTTTAATTAAATTATGTAATATCCAAAAACAATAAAAGAAACAAATACCGTTTAACATATTCTTTTTCATAGGTGTAACTAATTTATCCTTGTTGTCTGAAATTGATAAGATTTTTTATTATAATTGCAAATAACATGTTTTTTTTAAGGTTATGTTATCTTTTCATATTTTTACCTGATTCAGATATTGGCATTTTTGAAAATATATCTAAAATAAATTTATTTTCTTGCAGTAATAACTGCTTTACAGCATTTTGATTAAACGATTTTGACATTTTTAATTGCATATTTTTCAATGTACACACGTGTAATATTGATGTTTCGAAGTAATTTCTTAAACTACAGGCACATTTTCAAGTTTCAAAAACTATGTCTTCAAACATTATAGAAACAGGTTAGAAATTACTTAACGCGCAAACTCATGAACACAGCTTTCATTAAATCTTTTTATTTTAGAAATACAAAATAAAAAATATTTTTTTATCTTAAAAATAACTTGTATTATATAAAGTATGTATTGTATTGTATAAAGTAGCTTATAACAATCTCTATTATATATATATAATAAAAAGTAAATAAAACGATATTTTGTCATCATTAAAATTTTATTTAGTAAATACAAATTTAGTAAATACAAATAAAAAAAAAAAAAAATTTCAAGATGTATGTAAAATGCTTGCATGCTTGTAAAAATAATTGAGTATTATAGTTGGGATATTTCTTCCATCAATTTATTTGATGTTAAAACAATAAGCTTTTTTCCATGTACATTATGCATATCAAATTGTTTCATAGTTGCGTATGCTTCTTCATATGTTTTAAAATAAACATGGCAATATAATATATCAGTTTTTGGTAGTCTCATCATAAGTGATATTGATATCGGATTAAATTTTTCAAAAAGATGTAACATATAATGTATAGTTAAACTTGAATGGATATTAGCTACAATTACTTCATGTGCTGGAACAATTTTCGCAGATGATGGAGTGATATTAATATTATGTGTTCCATATTTTTGGTCAATATGCACCAAAGCTGGAATATTTGTTTCAAGTATTTTTTCCAATTTTTTTGAAGTAGCTGCTGATGAAATGGAAGTATTTGAAGCAAATCTTTCTAGATTTTTAAATCTAATATTCTGTTTTAAAGATGACATTGGTATAGAAGAGTAATTAGTTTTGTTTTCACCATGTACATCATCATTAAAGTTATTCTTACTAGGTGATTTTGACAAATTACAATCAGATTGATTGTCTGTTTGCATATTTTGAAACTGTTTTGTTGATAACGAGTAGGTAGTAAAATGATTATTTTCCCCTGAATTATTTTTAGAAGTATTTTGTTTAAACATTCTCTTATCCTGTGACTTTCTCTGTGCATCAGTATCAATATCTTTTAATGTTTTGATATTGTTACTTTTTATTTTATGTGGCAAAATTTTAACAGCTGAATGGTTTCTAAAACCATCTATGCATTTCTTTACATCTTCAACTGTTTCGTATCTTATAAAACATAATCCATTACTTTTCCCACCACCATTCACAGACACAATTTCGCCAAAAGCAGAAAACATTTCAGTAATTTCTTGTAAACTAAAACCTTTGTTATTAGGGAAATGTACAACATACCCATTTGCTCGTTTATCGTAATACTTTTCGTACTCCATATTTATTCTTATCAAATATATAATTCACTGGTTTTAAAATAGTGAGTAGAAATATATTTTCACGTATAACCTATTCTCAATCTAGTAATGCACGTTTTTTTATAATTAATATTGTATTAATTTTTAATATATACAAATGACAATTTATATATATACAATATATATAAATAAAATCACATTAATACTAGTAAATAAATGTATTACAATATATAAAACACGTATTGTTTATAAACTTTGAAACTCGAGTAATGTGAAAACTTAGGGAAGATAGGTAGAATATAAAACGTCTATTGTAAACTTCACATTGGTTCAATCGTTAAGTAATAAATCATGTGAATTAATACGTTGTGATATATTTACTAATTAATGTTACAAATAATTATCTTTTATATTTTAGTATTTGCTAGAATAATAAATTATCGCTAAATATCACAATTGGATATTCGAATATTCCCGCGTTATAAAAATGGCTGACACGTAGCCATGTTTATATGATGGACTTGCGCGTTATGATCTTCATAATTTACAGTTCTCAAGTACGAAGTACCTTCGTTTTATTTATACGGCATTCGACAGGGCAAGAGTACGATCGAATATTTAGTTTCGTTCAATTTTTTTTTGTAAAATACTACATAGTAATGACACAAACGTTTACGATTGAACATCAGTGGTGACAAAAAAAAAAAAGAAATTGGGGGAATGGGCGGAGTTTGCGCTTGTTGGAATATAAAGTTAAAGAAATTGTTTTACGAAAAATTCTGTTTCTGACGTTGCTCAATTAAATGTGCTCGAAAGAATCGTTCGAAAGATAATTTTATATAGCTCGAAGAAAATTGAAAGTCGACGAATACAGGTTAAGAGAATAGGATTAGGAAAAGCGGCGAAATCGCATCATAAATAAAGTGAATGCGCACGCGGCAATAACA